AGTCATTTGTGCAATTAATGTATTAATTTCATCTTCATACAAGTTCATTTTCAATATTTTGTCGGTTGATACTGAAATATGGCATAGTAGAATAAAGTAGAAGGTGAAAAAATAAAAGTAGAAATTCATATTGATCACTGTAGCAAGACTTGAATTGTCCAAAATCTAAAGACTTAATGTAAAGCTAAAATAGTAGAAAAAGAGTAAAATAACGGATGTAAATTGCATTAGTAATATAACCGTTTCAACTGCGATAAGAATTTTCTAGATTAATGACGAAAATTGCACTGGTAACAGGTAGAATTCTCGAATTTTTTTTTCTTAGTTACTTTACTTACATAACTCGAATATAAGAGTCAGTGAAAGACAACTAAAAACTTACGACTAACCAAGATATCTATGCTAAGTCTTTATGATGTTGGTTACTATCGAAAGCAGCTTTGTTGTAAAAATAAATTTATAAAACTAAAAACGAAATTATCATTTACATCGACCCTTTAACCTGTTTTTTGTTAACTGATAATTACGATATAGACAATGAGAAAAGGTGTCGCATTTTATTAGTACTTAACACGCAAAAAAGATAATAACTTGATTATTTATATTGGCTTATAGAATATCAAGGTATATTTCTTTCCTTTGGACAAAAAAAGTCAATTGTCTTATTACTGTAGCATATGCGTTATTTTATTCTTTTTTTAATTTAGAAATCTTGCTCAGTTTTCAAGTATTCATCTCCAGTATATTACGAGCTTGTATGTTTTGTACTGATAAAAGACTTGATTCAGTTTTATATGTGGAATAGTACTTTTATGATCTAATGGATGTTGTACTATTGTAGGATTATGGGTTTTTTATTTTTCTTGTCTTTTCTGTTTTCTTTATTGAGGCATGTGTGTATTATGTAGCTTTATAATAATAATAATTGTAATATGCCGTTCCGCTTAGATTCTGTAGGTGGTTCAATGCTTTAGATTATCAAATACGATTATTGTGTCTTGCTGTTTCTTTACTAAATAGTATTTCATGTGTATGCAGCATTTCTGCACATCTCTAAAATGAATGAAATTGATCAACATTTAATTGTTATTCAAGCATATTTAGAGTTACTTCGGGTAATACAGATCAGTGCTTGAAATTTTTTTAGTATTAAATTTTTGTAGGTAGCATAAATCTATTACAAACTGCTATTGCACAGGCAAATAGACATGAGTCTCAGCTATCAATTGATGTAAAAATATTCTCAAAATTCATTAAGGTTCATTAGTTTGATAAATTTTCCAGCGCCATGTCGATGCTACCAAAACGGTAGACGTAGAGTAAAACAACTTTTGTTCAATGGTGAATTTTCAGTTTTTTAATTAAAAAAATTAGCTCATCTTTTGAGCACTTTCCAATCATGTGTTTGACAGGTTGACATCACCTTTCCTTGATTGATTAATGAGAAGTTATATTTAAAAAAAGAAGACAGACATTTTTTGAAAAATCTCATTTCGGGGAATTTTAATCACTGCATGTAAAACACACGGAAAACACAAAAAACGATCTCCATAAACTGCCACAAGCCGTTTTACGGTCTACTCTAAATGAGAGAGTTGTTCAGCGGACTCTTTTCTACCGAGGGCTCCGAAGTTACAGGGTAGGATAGGGACAGGATTCAAAAAATGCTCACAGGATAAGGACGAAGATCCAAAAACAGCTACCCTGCACATCTCAAAACTAAACTGAACAGTGCTGTTTTCAAACATATTTGTTTTCATTAAAATTATAAATATAATCAAGCTAAAGATTTAATTAGTAATATCATGAGGAGAAAGTTGGAATATTCATACAGATGAATGTCTGTTCTGCAAAATGTACTAGTTTTTTTTTTAAAAAATAATAGTCTATAAAGGTCACGTTTCTATATGAATGTAATCGTTCACTCTATATTATTTGTCAAAACAATAATATTTCTATTGTAATAAGCCCGAAGAACTGTAATAAGTCGTGTTTTGGGGTTCTCATGTGTATTTCAATCTGTTTTACAGAATATACAATGAATTTCTAAATAATTTTCAAATTACAGTCGACGTCAAAAGTATTTCGCCACTTTTTTGTTTTGAGTCGTGTATTAAAACTACACAACATTAATTTCATTGCATTATATGTCTGTGTAGTAGAGGTCAAGTACTATATATATATATACACGTGTTTGGTATGAAAAATCCTTGAATATAAAATACAATAAAAAAAAAAACTTCAGTACTAAGAAAAAACTGACATAAATAACCGCAAAATGATATATTTATTAACGGATACTTTCATGGGCAGTCAAGCACAAAAACGCAAAATGTTCAGAAAACTTTTCATTCTATCAGACTTGGTAGCACTTTTTTCGCTGATCATTTTGGTTAAAAAAATTTAGGGTTTCATTGAGAACTGACGATGTTATTGTCAAAATACGTATTAAACATTCTGAAATCCCGAGTGCTCCAGAATGTTCACAACATAGTTTGTTTTGCGAATATATCTCCACAGACAAATGATAATTCTTTCAAATGAAAAAGACATACATGATAGTGCTACTTTCCACCGTATTTAACGTAATAAAAATGTTCAAAAGACTGTTATATTTTGTATGTATCTCGACTAAAAGAAATGATAGAACTTTGATTTTTTTTTCAAAAGATGCGCCGTCGAAAGCTCTATAAAAGGTGTAGAAGTTGTATAAACAAATGCCTATTGTAAAACAAAAAAGTCTTTCAAACATGTTTATTATCATTTTGCGGATTTTTATGTCATTTTTGTCTCAGCACTTAAGTTTTATTTTTTTATTGTATTTTATATTCAAGGGTTTTTCATACCAAATAGGTGTATATATATATAGTACTTGACCTCTATTACACAGGCATATAATGCAATGAAATTAATGTTGTGTAGTTTTAATACACGACTCAAAACAAAAAAGTGGCGAAATACGTTTGACGTCGACTGTATATTTCCCGTATTAATGTGTTAGTATTATAAATTGAATTTTATTAAACAAAATAATTATATTTATATACAAAAATATAATGAGTTCTAGATTATATTAATATTTTCATTTTTATAATTTAATTGTATAACAATATCCGAAAAATCGTATAAATTAACAAAATCACAAATGACAATATTCACACCGTTCACATTCGATGGATCTCGTTTTCGCTGTTTAATCCATTCACAGAGACGTTGATTTACAATACGTGCAACTGATTCTAGTGAATTGAACAATGATCGTCGAATCATTGCTCCATCAGGTGTTACTAATCCTTGAACAACGTTAATACACGCTGATGAACGAGGTTTTTGCATAGCTTTATCAAGATAAATGAATAATTGATCAATATTGGCTGTATTTGGCCACGGTGAATCACATATTTGAAAAAAATGTCCAACACGATCCATATGTTTTTGACATTGTTGATCTGGATGTAATTCATAAAGTAATATAACTTGTTGTTTATTTTCCCATAAATGATTAAATGTACACTCATTAATTAATTTTATTGTTGTACATAATTTTTTACCAAATATTTGATGAATTATTGTTAAAAATTGTTCATGACACATAAAATTTTCATCAAACGAATAAAAATGATTAAAATCTAATAAAACAATTTCTTTATCATATTTATCTAAAAATTCTTTAATTTCATTGAGACCGTGAATAACAGTATCTCCTAATAAACCATGAACAAAATAAAATTGATCATTTTTTAAACATACTCTTAAATCAAAATATCGAATACCGTTCATTAATTGTTCTAAATAAAAAGAAAATATTATTAAACATATATTTAATTATTAAAAGCATAGTAAAAACAAACCGGTAAATGTCCATTGTTGTGTTTTTGACCAATTTCGAATAAAACTAGGTAAAATATAAGAGAGTCTTCTTAGGGCTGGTGTCAAATTGGGTCCCGCTGACGATGTTAAATAATAAGAAAACGAATCATGTGATCCTTAAATAAAAATTAAAATACACAATGGTAAAACAATCAAATCAATCTATAAATAAACTCATACCTGGTATAGCTATTTTTGATATCGGTTCTGTATGTAAATGTTCTGGAAGATTTTTCATCCATTCTGTACGCGAATTAACAGCTAACGCTTCCATTCAATAAACAAATGTTTCTTTGAATCAAATCATATATTTTTATGCTACAACATCTAGAAAAAACAACAACATTTCAATCATCAAAAATAAATATTAAAAAAAACATCAATATTTGAGTCTTATATATTTGATAATCAGTTCGATAGAACTGAAATACAGTTTAGAGAAATAATGATCATCGAAAAGGAAATGAAATGAGGACATTTGCGTACGTATTGGATGGAATATAACTGTACAATATTACTTTTGTTTATCAATCTTCATTAATAAATGCTGAAAAAAAAGTCAATATAAAAATGAAAGTAGCACAAAAAATGCTTGAAAAACTATCCACTGCTGCAAAAGTCTTTGCACAAAATAAAAACTCATTTCTCTTCTTAAAAAAGCTTTTTACATGAATTAAAACACTTTGAAATCCACATTTAGTAAGATTTTCAAAACATTTTTGCAAAAAGTTTTCATAATCTTATGTTTCACAGTTATTAATGTTTTTATTGATACTCTCGAAAACTATGTTTGTACGAAGAAAGAAGACGATTTTCTATGCTGTACCGTTGACAAAAAATTTAAAATTAATTTTTTTATTTCAATACCGGATGATAGGCCAAACATTTCTCTACAAAATGGCATTTCGGGCAGTTCTATACGACTTTATTACAAAAGGTTATGTACACTTTGGAAAAAGTGCATGTACCATGTAAAACGTTGTATAGTAAATTTTGTAAAGAAAGAGAATTTCGCGAACACCTTTTTGTAGAACGCTTATCATTTTTCGTAGTAAAATCGTACTGAGACACGCGACATACTATTTTTTAGAGAAATGTTTGCTGTTCAAACTGATATTCAAACCAAAATTATTATAATTCCCCTACTGTAGTCGCATTAAAGTTTGTTAAAAATGATGTCTTCTTTCTTTGTACAAACACAGTTTTCGAGATCATCAATAAAACGTTAATAATTCCGAAACAAAAAAAATTGTTTTCAAAAAAGTTTGAAAGTTTACTAAATTTGGATTTTAAAGTTTTTACGTTTTAATTTCTGAAAAAAAGCTTGCTTAAGGAGAGAAATGAGTTTTTATTTTGGGCAAAGACTTTTGCAACAAAGGTTAAATAAAATTTTTTTTATAACAGTACTAATCTTCTTATTCAATCATCAACGATGCGTTTTTCATGTATGAACTTCGAGTAATTATTGCGCAGTATACATATAGTACTGAAATGGATTCATTCATAGTACTATTGGAGGATAAGAGATAAACAGTTTGTCAAAAAATACAATTTATCATCGTTTTCAATATACTAGTGCAGCGACGTCCTATGTTCTTAACTGTAAATCTTATCTTTATATGACTTCAACCTCGAACTGTCTAATAGGAGTTTTTATTGTTGATACTTAGCGCGTCTACAACAAGTTAAGTAACACCATATAATTTTATATTTTTGTTCTCAATATTTATTAATACTTCAGTAATATCTTGATTTTTATTTTCTAGAAATTAATATTATATTAAAAAAAGAAATGTCCATAAAAATATATTGATACACTTTCGATTATCTCTCTTTACTTGTGCAAAAATATATAGAATAAAATCTAAATGTGCATTATAACATTAAAATTGAACATATTAATAAAATATTTTGATCGAAAAACTATCAAGTTTGAAAATAACAGAAAAGGCGATCAAGATAATTATTTAACTTTTGGTGCACTACGATCATTTGTTTTTGCCGCTTTTAATTTTACTTTAGAAAAGCCGGAAATATCAGTTAGTAATTTCGTTCGATCATCACCTGCGCCAGTTGCCATCGGATTCATTGGTGGTGGTGGAGGAGGAGGAGGTGGTGGTGGTGGTGAATTTACGGAAACATTTGTGGTATTTAATAGAGGCGGTGCCATTGGTGGAGCGCTAGGAATTTTATTTCCCGATTCATCTTGTCTTTTGTCGATAAACGAAATAGGAGTAGAAGGTCGAGAATTTGTACTTGATAGTTGAATGGGATCAACGCTGACTGATCGGCCTAACAAATCTAAACGGAGGGGAAGATAGTAGAAGAAAAAAAGAGAAAATGATAGAATTAGTAATTAACCAACATATGTATATCAATAAAAGAAATAAAAGTGATAGTCATTCAGAAACTGTGCACGTCAAGACATATTATATTAATTAAAAACAATTACATCCATATGGATATTTCACTAGAGCTAAACCATAACCTCCTCCTTCTTCCAAAAGAAAAGCGTACTACTATCGGCGTCAAAATACAAGACCGGTGGTTATTTTTTGAATAATTCAAAAGGAATAAAAGATAGTTGACTTGCAATTTTCATCATTCGCTAGCCAAGACCTGAAGCTATGTTTTCATAAGCAAAAACTTCAAAGACCGATTTTTCCGAAGATCTGTGGAAAACCAGTTCGGTTCTCTGACAACTGGCATAGAAACCTATGGATTTTTTTCATAAATATATAGTCCGAAGTGTCCTCCACAAAACTGGATCCAAGCGACTTCGAAAATCCATGGTTAGGGAACCATGGACGTTTTTCCTGAAGCCATTGGGCTCCTCTGCCATTAGATTAGAATATGTCAGGAATGAACGAAAACATAGGTTATTGACCATGCTGAATCTCGTGGCAATGTTAATCTTCAGACAAAATGCAAGAACCAAGTAAAACCCTATACTAGGTGAATCCATTTTTGATTATTTTCATCAAAAATTAAAATATTCATAACTCAGCCAAAATCCATCAAGCCTGCTACAAAATGTCAGGAAATACTCGATTATATATGCAGCATACCGTAAAACTCAATAAATGTTGTAAAAACCAACAGAAAATACTTTGGTTTTTAGAAAGGTTTTGCAGAAACAGAATATTTTTTATTGATTTTAAGTACACTTAAAATCAGTAAAAAATATTCTGTTAGTTCCGTAAAAAATCCATAGATTTCTATGTCAGTTTTCAGAGAACCGAATTAGTTTTTCACAGATCTCCGAAAAAATCGGTCTTTGATGTTTTTTCCAAATCCGTTTTTGCTTATGAAAACATAGTTTCAGGTCTTGGCTAGCGAGCGAATGATGACAAGGGTAAGTCACTATTCAAAAAATCACCACCAATCTTATATTTTGACACTGATACCATTCCCAAGAACTATTACAATAACCGCACAAAATAATAATACTATTTCAATATTTTTGTTCAAATTATTTAATTTTTAAATTAAATTACGCTTTTTTGCTGAGAGTATGTGCATATAACATAAAAAAACTTTCATTATGACGTGACGAAAATCAGTACATAAGACTTTAAAACTATGCTCTTTCAAATGGTGAAGTAGCTTTTCGACACATCGAACGAAACTGAATAATTCTTTTAACATCCAATGCCGAAAAAAAATTTTCGAATCGACTATTGTCTTTGAAATAATTTGAACTACATTTTAAATACAAAGAACTTTTCTTCAGCATTGAATTTTGAAATTTTAATTTCAAAATTGCAACTTTTTTTTAAAACTAAAATAGAAAGTCGAAAAAGGATTGAAATTTTTTCAATATATAGAGCTCAAAAACCTGAATAAACCTAGAGGTTTATCGACATTTTGATATTGACTGAAATCGACTTTTTGAATATTTTTTCACTATACAAAGTTTTGCATTCAAAATTTATTTTTCAACCTTCTTATTATAAAATTTCAGCTCGTGTAATTCCAAGCTACTTTCATATATTTTTCAAATTTTTTCAAATTCACCATTTAATAGAGAATAATTTCAAATTCTAAAAAGTACTGAATCTCATCAAAATAGATTCATTAGTTATCAAGATAGATTTTTCATATTAAATGTCTATTATCTGTGTAAGTTAGAATCAAGTGTTAGTATTCTACTAATTATTAGAACATTATGATCTTACCAACAAATAATTTTTCAATGTTTTTCTGTTTGCCATTTAAATGGTAAAACTACATAGATGGTGAAAATTAAAACTTGAAAAATACATTTCACTATTCTATTTATTAATAACACAATAAACAAACTTACTTGAATGTTTTTCTGTTGTTCTACTATTGAATGAATCTTGACGTTGTTCGAGTGCTTTTGCCTATATTAACATATCAAATATAGAGTTATATAGTACATAGTTATTTAGAAAATATAATTATACACACTTGTTTTTCTTTTCGTCTTCGACGTTTTTCTTCATCTGATTGTAAATGATTTGTTATCATTGTTCGTTTTAAAGCAGCCATCAACTAGAATATGAGAGAAAAAAAAAACTTATAATACAACTAAAAACTGAAGACTATATAATAATACTCTTATTTGATCAGCTTCGAGTCGACTTTGTGTTGTACGTCGAATTTGTTCAAATGCCTCTTTTGCTTTTGAGCTCAATGTTAATTGTGAACGATTAAAACCGTTTGGCAATGGTACATTGAAAAATCTAGAATAATGTCGAAATTTAAATATCGAATAATTATAAGACAACAAATTAGAAAATCGATACTAATTGTAGAGAGAAAGAAGAAAAAGAAGTACCTACGATTCTTGCAGTAATTGATGAATTGTTGGCAAATTTTGAACACCATTAGTTGATAATAATTTACTTAATATTTGTTGAATAGATGAATGAATTGTAAGTGGAAATTGATCACATATTGATGATGGACATTCTTCTCCTATCGCCATTTCATACAATAAACGTCCAAATGAATAGACATCACATTGTTCTGGTGACTAAAACAATACAATAACATATATTAGTTATGAAAGAGAAAAATAAATCACTGTATACGTTTATTTACTTGAATTTGTTTTATATTTAAGAAATAACCGCGATATTTGGAAGAAACACCTCAAAAAAAACAAAAATGAACGTAATAAAATGAACAGAATAAAAAAACGTCAATAAATATAAAAATTACCAGTTATCACATTGGAAATATCAAGTAATTGTATTAATTTTTCATCTTCATTCAATGCAACATTTCCACTAGTCAATTGACCATAACACATATTATTATCATAAATGAAATTTAATGTTTCTAATATTTGTTTGCCATAAATTTTTATATCATTTAATTCAAATGTTTTACATGTTTTTGAATTATATTTACTGTATTTTTTCAAATAAGTCACATTTGGTTTAGTCTAGATATAAAACAACAATACAATATGTTATTAATACATTAATAAGAATAAGAATAATAATAACGAAAAAAATAAGAATTAAAATATTTACCTGATGAATATAATCCTTTATTGTTCCTTTTTGATAATATTTGTACACTGTTAACGTTCCACTCTCATTGGCATACACTTCTTCAATTGGAGAAATAAATGGATGCTAGAAAATTTTTTAAGGCATTAGTCAAAGTAGTAGAATAATGGTAACATTTTTAATTTTACCTTTAGTCCTTTCAATAGTTTTAAGCAACTACTGATGTCTTTGTCATTTAATGCTTTATCAAGTCCATAATTACACTAAAAAATAAAAATAAATGTCATTATCAACTATAAAAACAAAAATAAACTCTTGAAATAAAACAAAAATCTATCTACCCATGACAAGAGAAAACGTTCATCTTTTCCAGCTGATTTTTTTTGGGCAAGAAAATATTGTTTATTGTATCGCCATCCTATAACGAAAAAAAAAAGAAGAAAAATAGTAATAATAATGTGAATATTTTGTATATCGTTATTATTCTTACCAATATCATTTAATGGTTCAATAACTTGAAATTCATTATCAGTCGACCTCAAAAACATTGAAACATGTTGTAGAGCAAATTCTAAAAAAAATAAAAGAAAAATAGTGCATATAATTAATAATTATGTTTTAATTCTAACCCGAATAGTTTAATGTATGATTATCAGGATCGAGAAATCGTTGAATAAATAATAAACTCGTTAATTCTAATTGTTCAACTAATGAATCGAGAAATAACTAAAAAAAAAAAACAAAAAAAAAATAGTTCATCATTTTTTATTTTATTTAATATTTTTAAAAAATTACCTGTAAACCTTTTTGTCTTTCAGCAATAAAATGTCTGTCTGTATTACCAAATATTTTTTTTGGTGGTAATTTAAAATCATAATTAAATTCTTTTAATGTTGTATCTAAATCAACAAAATCTTTAAATCGTTTTTTTGTAACCCAAGATAATGTTGTATCATTTGAACAACGTGAAACACGAATTGTATATTCCTATAAATAAAAATAAAATATATTATAATTGATAAATAAAACAATGTAAATAAAATTTCTTACACCATGACCCTCGCTAATTTGAGCTTGTTCAATAGTACATGTAAATGGTAATGTGTTATCAATCATTGTCGATGTTCGTGTTAAATTTGGTCCGATAACCGATGCACGTGCCATTTTCTTTTTTTTTAAAAAACTTCTTTTAACTCATCATCATCGATAAGAGAACAATGAGCTCATAGTCTACGAAATAAGGTAAACATTATTTTTTTTTGTTATTCTTTGTTTTGCTAATTTTTTTTTCTTCTCTAAAGGAACTATGAGTGTAAGAATAAAGCAGGACCACTTAGATAAATGTTTTTTTTTCTTCTTTTACGACAGTTTCTGTTTCTTCTCACATTTTATATGTAAAAAAAAAAGAAGAGGAGAACTTTAAGGTGGTAGATAGAAGGACAAATTTGAAATCAATTATTTATACATAAAATAAACCTAGACATCAGGCAAACGTAATGACGACGAAGAAACGATTGCATATTTAAATAAACTTTTCATTTTTCCATCAATATGATCTTTTTTCGATTCATATTGTGTCTACGCTACAAAGAATTTCAAATCTTTTAATAATTCAGCATTTTATTAGGCTTATAGCAAGACCGCAATCATGAAGAAATAACTTTATTTTAAAAAAAAATCGAATTTATTGTGCATTTATAATGTAAAAATACAATAGACACATATGTGTTATGTCAATTTGAAAATAAAAAGTGTAAAATTTATTATGGATAAGTATTTTTTAAGTAGATCAAGATATGTAAGTAGTATCACTAAATATTTACGTATTAACGACACAAGTTTTAAAGGTTAACAATGACTGCATCATAAACATCAGCTGTCACCACTTGCTATCTTTATTTAAATACTGATAAGTTTGTTTATGTTGTAAACGTTTTTTTTACACCTTTTTGAAGAAAATATAATTTGTTATCAATGAATTTCATCTAAAGACTCGACTATTTTTATCTAATTCGTTGAGAATCAATTTGTTTTCATTGAGTCATGAAGAATCAATTATAATATGAGAATTTTGTCTATTAAATGTATCATTTGAAATGATGCAACTCTGATGATGCTAATAATTGTAATTTGTTGCTACTGAATAATATTCATTTTGGATGACCAATGTATTTTTTAGTCGAAGTTTTGATGTCATCTGTTTGAGTAGTATTCATTTTTCGTTGTCTGGTTTTTGATTAAACAACGAACATATTTTCTTCAGTACCACTTTTTAATCACACATTTGATTAACTAAAATATTTTTTTGTTTTTAAGTCGACAGTGGCAACAGCAGCAGTATTAAATAAAATGTACAACAAATGAGCAATTTTATTTCTTTATTTTCTCGACGTAATCATTCTGTTAAAGATCCTTTTCTCATTTAATACGTCTCAATAGAGGCAAAAGATTCCTTATTCTCTTCTCCTGATTACTTTAGAATAAACAATATTTAAGTTTGAAAGTCTGTTAAAGAAATATATTAAAAACAAATAAGAGCTAAACTGTTGAACTACTAATTGTCATCTTATAACAAGTCGACGAGGGCAGAAGAAAATAAATTAAAATGCAATTTTGTTTTTTTTAAATTTTCAATCGTATTACATTATAGGAGAAAAGTCAATTGTTTAGAGAAAACCCCGATAATTCACTTTGAGACAATGTCAAGTGAACGTTTTTCCAATACAACTCGACAAGCGCTACAAAATGAGTGAAATTTACTTGCATCCAAAGTGGATGTTTTACATAGTCACATTGTGAGATTTTTATAGAATTCTGCAGTTGAGTCTTTAGATCAATTTCTATATCCAAAGTTTCTCGTACAAAAAAAAATTTTTTTAGGAGGTTTACAAACTGTATAGTACAAAAATATAAAAATACTTTGAATCATTCTAACGTACAAAACTAATTTCTAAAGATTTAACCATCTAGTTTCAACAGAAACATTCCTTGAAATCATAAAACTTTTTCTCAAAAGAATTAAATTCGATTGTTTCAATTGATGTTCATGTTATTTACTAAACGTAAGTAAACAAAACTTACGTGAACAACTTCCTTTTTTATCTCAGTTTCATATCTGAAACAAACAAAAACAAAAAATAATAGTATAATCATAACAAGTCATTCGTATAAAACGTCAGAAAAATCAAACTAAAGAACAATGTCTATACCACAAATGTTTTGATAAAAATATAATGTCAAACGAAAGGTGTACTTTTCACTGAGAATAAGATCACCAATATAGACTTCTTTATTCTCTATATCACATATAAATATATGTGAAAGAAATTGGAACTTGTCAAGCGTAAACAAATGCATTTATCTTGATATCGACAATAAATATCTTAAATGGGCGTTCAGCGTTCAAATCAAAGTACCTTAAAACGTGACAGTAAATGTTTAGGATGAGATTTTTTAACATAACGAATAGATAAAACAGTAAAATAATGAAAAACGTAATAGATGGAGCGCTCCATCATTTTTGAATATGGCTTGTGTATATTCTAAAACTAATGGGTAATACTAAAGAATATCTTTTATAAGCTGTTCTTTATACATATCAAGCTTTTTCCTATTTCAGAAAAGTGAAGTGTGTAATGTAAATTAGGTTAGAATTTATTTAGGCTCTAAAACACTGTAAAAATTGTATCTCTTTAGTTTATTCATTTTTCTCATGATTTTGATAAAATATGTTATTACGATTTTATTTTTTCAACTTAAATATACTTAGTCATAAAGGTTTTCTATGAAAAAAATAGAGAAATGTGACCTATTATTAAGTTGATACTAAAATATCATGTGAAACAAAACAAAATTTTATATAAAACGATGATTATAGAAGGTAATATAGAATCAAAACAACCCGTAGGCTATATTGACTTAGTTATAAATGATCTCTATTCATCTATAAATGACTACCAGAATCAACAAAAGTCTCATTTATTCTAATTTATCCTTATTCTCAAAATCAAGAATTCACAAATAATAACTTATCGTCGAATATACTATCATCTAAAATAAATATAAAACATAATAACAGATTATTATTGCAATTACTATCGAAAACGGATACATAAATACGGTCATTAAAAGAACAATTAGGTGAGATGAGCAATAAACGTGTGAAATGAAACAAAGAGCGATCTAATAACATTAATTAATACTGAACAATAAAAACAATTAAGTACACCAACGAGTTAAACACATTCATCAAAACAGACAATAAAACAATTTAAATAAATATCATCTCAATTTTTAAAATAAAAATTAAACAAATTAAATCGATCATTTTCCTCAGAATCAGTATGTTGATCTCATTAATTATCATTATGATTGTACGTATTTATGTCAGTATGCTAATTAACAGAAAAAGAAATAAAAGTTCTTCATTTTAAAAACTATTCTGTCAAAATAAAAACGTTTACTGTCTAACTTTTTCACGGTGAGATTAAAATATAATAAATAATTCGTGTTATTGTCTTCTCGAAATGTATAGATATTACCTTATTTTCAAATGTCTTTCTTTCATTTATAGGATGTTTATTTATATTAATGAAGTTTCATACTGGCATCAGAATTTTCTTCTATTCAATAGAAATCTAAACATTAAAAGTGAGGAATATGGATTGATGAAGCAGACAATCCTTTTGAATATTGTCTTTCTGCTGCGTAAGTTACGTACGACGATCACATCTGTAGACAAATAAAAATACCGCCACCTTACGGCTACTATTACTAATGTAGAATGCTGTCAAATGGCAGTTTCAATAGATCGATATCTTACCTACAGTTGACAAGGTTCTGAAATGGTTATCTAAATCATCAACTGCAGCTCTGTTTAGAAAACTCAGAGTTCTTCTTCACATTGCTTTAGCTCCTTATATGACTAACCACGTGTACTGACTCGTTTCTCAAAGTCATGAAGGCTAATCGAAGAAACTGTATTGTACATCATGGTACTACGAACTTTTATCGAAAAATACTTTATCGAATTTTTTTTACTGTAGGGTATGATTAAGAAGCTTAAGCACGGATAAGATTTAGCAGATAGCAGAGTCGTGGGAGTGCATAAGAAAGCTTTCAGGAGGAAAACCATGAACCAAGGGCCAAAAAGTATTTTCGATGAAAGTTCAGTCAATCGTACATCGTAGAGCGGGCATACTATCAGACAGACAATCTGATGCACATGAACATACGTAACTTGCTCAAGATTATGACATAACTTATAAACGTTAAAATTCAAACGTAACATTTTTGAAGTACGTGACGAACAATCTAACCGTCAAGTCATGGATGTCTAGACAAAAGTCGAAATGTTCTGACGTTTTCCAATAAAACGTGAGTATGATATTCTCAATTTGATCTAGTTATTCGAAAGTGTACTAAGGAAATAAGCAAGAGAAGTTTAATGTTTTCTTTTCTGATGTTGTGAGAGCGGTGAAAAGAGCGAAATTTGTTGTCTCGTTAACAGATGCCAAAGACTGTTAAGTGATTTTGTGATTTAAATTGCTATATGCATACTGTAGTTTAAGAAGACAGAATAACAAAAGTACAATCAATAAAAAGCAGCAATCAGCCTTGATCTGATACTAGAAATCCTAAGATCCATCATAATCCTTGCTTTCATAATAAACTTCTTAAGAGATCTTTAGACTTCTACGAAGTGTCTTGCTAGTTGATGAATAAAGGACTTTTTATCTTATATAATGTATTTGTACTTTATATAAATAGAAAACAGCGGATCTATGTTTCGTTTTTATACGTACATAAAACCCGAAAGGAAGAAAAAAACATGTACGCATTAGAAAAAATTATTAAACAAATGCAAAATATTCAAATTCATACAAATTCACACATACACACACTCACATACATCCGTCCAGAAAAAAGCAAATAACCACTAAATGTGTTTCTGCTAGTCTCTCACATGAAGAAAAAAAAAGATCTATGAGAAAGTGAGAGTGAGAGAGATCAATATCAAAAAAGTTCCAGTTTTATGGAAGACCATGTCCTTCCATTTTTGTTGCATTTTTTGTAAATCCACATGAGTGTGATTTTAAAAATAGAAAAAAAGAAGTTTGCGAGCGATCGTATCAACGGAATGTTTTGTAAGAAAATAAGTATAAGTAAGATGTACGATAAAGGAGCTGCAATGGTCGTTTAGAGGCCTTCAAAAAAAAACAAAGAACTTTATAAGCAGAAAACGAGTTCAGATTAAGAGATTTTTGCAATCACTGTTCTAGGTAGAGATGAAAAACAAGAAAGAAATATCTTAGAAAAAGAGTATGAATCCGTTTGAAAGTAATCTGCCACTGCTAATGTAAAAAACAACTACTAAATATCATATTGGCTATACACATCAAGAAAAATAGGAAAAAACAAACAAACATGTACACAAAACTCATTCATTTAGAAAAAGAAACTCAGACTAAAATACACAAAATGCATTACATCGAATGAAATAAAGAGCAAAGGAGAAAGAAAACACAAAAATTAGAAAAACTGCTTATAAAACAGCTTATTCTTCATGAAAATATCAGTATAAACAAACTATACTTCTATCCATTTGTCTGTCAAACACTAATATACAGAAAAGAGGTAAATACTTCCGATGCAAATTTTTTTACAAAATAGAAGTGTTCTTTCTATTAACTTATATCAGTTTAATGAGAATAGATTTTGCTTATTAGTTAGTAAAATTAGTGTAAAAAAAAGAGAAGGTATTTTAATATTTATCATCCCATTCCTGGATAATGGTAATCATCCGAGTTCGTCGGTGGTGGCTGTAATACTTTGTCAAATTTTTTCACTTCTTCTTGCATAGATTCTTTTATTTTTTGTATTGCTTCGTTATCACCACTACTATGATCCTAATATTGAATGTACACTGATCTACCTTCTAGATAATAATAGAATCCGATCATTTCTTACCGATTCTTGATTATATGGAGGAAAGTTTGCTATATCCGGTGGAAGATGAGACGGGGGACCAGTATTGGACATAGTTGGTTGTTGTGAAACAGACATCGGAGAATGAGAATGTTTCATATGATCATATTCGCCTTAAACAAACAAAAAGTTGTAAATTTCTTCTGAGAGATGCGAAAGAATCATTACCGTTTATCGGCCCATGAACTAACTCAGGTGGTATTGATTGCATATGGGGCATATGTTCATGATATAAAACAGGACCCATACCGCCGGGTCGCATTGGATAAGGGGGGATTTCTCCTCCATTAGAATCTAAAATACCAGACTAATTGTGAGCAAATGGGGCTTAAAACTATTAAAACACAAACCCTGAGGACTAGTCATTGGAGGACATGGATTCTGAAATTTTAAAGACAAGAATTAATACTTTTAGATTAAATTACTATTTTTTAAAACTTACGCCGTAAGGCACTGGCACAGGAGATGAAGAAGAATAACTGATCTATAACAGACATATTTGAATATAAAGTGCTTTCTAAATTCAAGCTGAGTTTGTTATCTATTTACCGGTGAATTTGTTATATTCCACCGCGCTGAAACACCTTGATTTTGTCCCATTTGCATGGATGGTGACATTGCAGATGGCATGTTCTGACCGGAACGAAACGAGCGAGTACCGGGCGATCCTAATCGAACTTGATATAAAAAAAAACATTAATCTTTGGTCAAATAATAAACGGCGTACTCACCATTACGTCCAGGCTCTAGATTGGACGGTAACAATGCATTCTGGCCCTTTAACATCAGAAAAAGAAAATTGAATAATTGTTATGGTATACTTTTGCCAGAGGGTGAATCTTACATTATAATCTGGTTGATTGGGTAAACGTACAAGAGATCTTGGCGGTGGGTTTGGATACCGTATAAACTAAGATAAAAAACAAAAAGTAAGCATATAAGGATGTTGTGAAGAACACAAACATACAGAAAAGAGTTCTCTTTATATTTTAGAAAAGTAATCTGAACAACAAAACTCAAACCATCTCTGATGGAGATTTTCTGTGATTTTTCGCAGTAAGCCAATGTCAAACTAATTCGTGTCACCTCAGGCTGCTTAAGAGCTACTAATGAAAGACAGACTTTGTCAATAGTACGGAAATCTTTCAAATAGTTGCTAGGATACGCTTCAAGAAGTTCTGCCACAATACATGAATGACTCTAATTCAATGTGTTGATCGTAATTTGTTCACTGTTTATCCAATTTAAAAAACAAACTATACGGTTACATTCATAAGACTTTTGTCTATCCGGAAATGAAGACAAGGTATTGTTTCCATATTCAGATAATATGCGCATATAGACCTCGTTCACTTTGATCGGGTTCTATACAAGATTTCACTGTGAAAATCATTACCCATTTAACATTTCCAGGTAGACAAAAGTCTTGTGAATGTCATTGGGTAAAAAATAACCGAAGTTTACGATCAACATATTAAATTAGAGTCATTCATGTATTGAATATCTATCAGATATTTGCGGAGACAGAAAAAGGAAGATATTTCTTGCTTGCTTTGACTCTATTCTTAGATTACGTGTAAGAACAGTTTCACTTTCGATCTAAACTGACAAGGTTTTTCAATACAGAATAAAAAATATTACTGGCGCTGGAATCATATTGGGTTGACCATTTGGCGGCTAAAGAGAAAATGGAATTGCTAACATTGAACAGTTGATGAAAACGACATATTATTACAAACCGAAAAATATGGTACGGTTGAATTTGGCATTGTTTCATTTGTATTCATTTGTAATGAGTTTGGGTTGGAATTGGGATTATTCTAAACACAGAGATTGCTAAAACAACAGAAAATACGAAAAATTTTTGTTACTTACATTTGGCATTCCATTTGGTGGAAAATTAGATGAGATAAAGCCCTATGCAAAAAGAAACAAAAATTAATGAATGGAATAACACTTTTAAAAGTAAATTACGTAATCATGAAACGCTTTCGCTTCTTCTGAATGACCAAATTGTTCGCGGCGTTCTGGTGCTGCACAATATAGATCCCAAAAAACACTATAATAAGATAGCGATGCTTGGCAGAAATCGAAGATACGGGAAAAGGTACTTACCACCACCATGAGCAAAGAAAACCTGGTGTTTCGCCAATTGCTACCTTGTTATCCCATTTCATCTAAAAGAACATACGTTCTTCAACGAACAGCAGGTTTATTAATATCTACTTGCCTCAGATAAAAAGATTTGCGCACTTTTTTGTGCACCAATGTGATATAGATATTCGTAGACATACAAAGCGAGTCTAGGAAAGAAAATCAAAATATTATTATCATATTAGCATTTTGTAGTACAAAAAAGTTGAAGATCCTCCCCGATTGTGATTAGCCAGGTAGCAGTTCCTGAGTATTATCATAAAATTTTAACACTGAACTAAGATTGTGTGAAGAGATAGCATTGTTATGCTTCATTTTTTGAATGATTATTGTAGAAAGATGCAGAATTTTAAAAATAAACAAATATTATTCTCACTTCTCTTTGGCTTGTGCATCCGACGGGACATTTGATCCTTTTCCTTTTGCATACATTTTTTTAAATTAATCACCCTCAAATTCTAATTTAATATATTATGTGAACTAAATTCGTGTTCTTTTGATAAATGTATTAATAAACAAAATATGTTTATATAGAATCAAGATTAAATATGGAATTAGAAAATAAAATCAACATGTTAGATAAGCAGCGTGTCAGAAACAATCCGATTTTGAATCTGAAATGAAAGAGATCAACAAATGTCATATTTTTCATGTCTTGTCAAGAGTTCTAAAAAACATATCGTAAGTGTCTCTTTTGGTGCATAAATAAATATGAAGTTTAGCCTTTAATATTAATTTCAATATTGGTCAGTAAATAGAACAGTATTCACAGAAAAATCTTCATAGTTTTGTTTGCATTTTAAATATCACTTTCTATCTTTTTTGGATACAAAAGACAACGGAAAATATACTTGACCTTATTTTTATGCGATGAAAGGATGCTTACAAAAGCGCTATTTCCGGTGTATTTACCCTCTACATTTTCTAAGCAGACACATAATTATCATTTGATAATTAAAGAAAATCTTTAACTTCATTGAGTTGCTCGTAGCTTGAATTTTTTAATATGACACTGATATTTACGTCAATTTACCATTTTTAAAACTGTCTATGGAGCCTCAACAATAGTCTCCCGGAGTAAGAGGGCAGTACTGTCGTCTTGATTCATGAATGCATTTCGTATACTCACGACGCTTCTCTTTTATCTGTATTGGATAGGCTACTCCTGTTAATCAGATTAAAATCAAGCAATAAATCATTTAGAACTATAAATGAGTATGTAGATAACTAATAATAATAAATAAACAAATCATCACATGTGTTGGATAATGCAAAAATGAAGAACATACTTCATCGTCTTTTTACGCGATTCATATTACCCACAATTCACTGGGTAAGTTTTATTGTCTTGAAAATAAACTACTTCCTCAACTTAACAGTTCTCCTCATAGACGGGACGGAAAATTTTGTTTTAGAGTCTGCATACACAAACCTGCTTCCCTTCATAATTTTTGTCCGTGCTAACACATTTTTTGCTTCGTTTAAACTGAATATCAAACTTTTAGATCAAGAATTACTCTTTCTTTATTTTGAACTTTGGATCGATACTCTGCTATGAAATATAATTCTGAGCAGCGTAACTGACTATTAATAACTGTTTATTACCCTTGATATTATTTTCCAGGAAAATTGCCCTGCTGACGGCCCATCAATGGTTCTTCTCTGATGGTTTCTAATTTTATCTGAAGAATATTAACTAGGTACCCGAAGTGAGATATGTATAAATGTTCCAGTGTGAGTACGATCTTAAGATATTTCCTCAGTTGACAATCTCGGATAAAGTTTCAACAGATTTCCTTGGTTTTGTCGATAGTTTCGTAAAATTTCCCATTTCTCCGCAAGAGGAGGTAGACGCAAAATAATTTGAACTTCTACGAGAATTTCTGTCATTTCTTCTTTTATTTTGTTTTCCTAGACTACTAACTAGATTCTCTCGGGCTGCTTTAATGAGAATTCAGTGAGATTTTTGCTACAATAACTACAATGAACGCCACATTTTATATTAGAAAAATGATCGCTAATCTTTTAAATGGAAACAAGATCAAAAAGTACTGATATCGGAATGTATTGCGTATATCGACGGCTTAAGGGTGCCCCTCCTCTTTTTTGATCCTCTTGAAAATCGGGGAAGCCGATGTCTGATTGGGGTGAAATTTATACCAGATATAGAAAATCGATGTATTTTTGCCCAAAATTTTCTGATATGTTCTTCTATGGGTTTTCTGAAAAACTCCAGTTTGCATCAGATCATATTACGACCCCTCGAAAAATTGGTCCGATCGAGGTGGAAATTTGATCACAGATGCTTTACACCCTATCTCAGGTTCGTTTTTTTTTCTTTTCAAAAAATATGCCTTCCTTCTCAAGATATGCGAAAAATACTGAAAGCCACGCAAAAAAAGTCAGTTTTTTTCAGGTTTTTTGTCTGATTTTCAGCATTTTTCGCATATCTTGAGAAGGAAGGCATATTTTTCGAAAAGTAAAAAAAACGAACCTGAGATAGGGTGTAAAGCATCTGTGATCAAATTTTCACCTCGATTGGATCATTTTTTCGAGGGTTCGTAATATGGCCTGATGAAAACTGGAGTTTTACATAATAATAACAACTATTCCCGTTTTATTAAATCGTTTATTTTTACCTTTCTTTATAGATTACTTCAACATTTCGTCTATTTCTGACATTTTCAGAAGTTAATACACAAGGTATAGACAAAGACGACAAATATTCTGTGTATATGTCAAATGTAAATGGGACAGATTATGAAAAGACATATGTTAAACGGTAAAAAAATGAACTATATACATACAGTTCATTTTTTATTTACGTAATAAAATTATTTAGTCTATCTACCGAGTGATTAGCTTGAACTGAAAACACTTTCATCACTGTCAGAAAAAATTTTCACTTTATTATCGATGAAGTGTATTTTTAATCATCAAAAGAACTTTCAATCGAGCTAATTCATTAAAATTTAACGAGACTGTAAATTAATCTATGTTGTTCTTTTCATTTTAGGTTAATACGATATCGTTTAGATTATTCGAATGGATCATGCAAAGGATGCCAGAGCGCTTTGCCCTCTATTGTTCTTGATGATTTTTTATTTCTTGGAAATCTTCAAAATGCATTAAACTGTGAGTTATTAGAACAATTAGGAATTCAACATATTCTCAATGTTTGTGATTTTGGATTATCAGAAAAAATACATCAGAAATTTAATGTTATTGAAATACCACTAATGGATGCAATCCATGTTGATATTAAACAACATTTTGATCGCACAAATACATTGTTACATAGTATTTATTTGAAAAAAGAACGTTGTCTTGTACATTGTGCTGGTACGTTATTTTTATTTTTATTTTTTTTTATAAATAACTCATTTTAATTATTGTTTTCTTTCTACTTTTTTAGCTGGTGTCTCACGATCAGCAACAATTGTTCTTGCATATTTAATGAAATATCATCATGAAACACTTGAACTTGCATTTAGTTCATTAATGGTTAAACGACCACAAATATTTCCAAATGAAGGTTTTCTTTTACAATTGGTACGGTATGAAAACGAATTAATGAAATCGAAAGAAATTGATCAGAATGAAGTAAGTTCTCATATTAATAGTGATGATAGACAAAACGCATATGATGCAATCGTCGATGATAAAGTTGATAATAATCCTATTGAAACACTAAACGAATTTAAAGAAAAACATGATATTCATACAACAACAACGATATCCAATAACGAACTTTAATTTAAATATATATTTTCGAAGCTTTTTCATTTTAAATGTTGGTAATAATTCTAGTCGCATTTATCTTTTCTCTTGTTTTTTTTCTTCCTCATATAAATAAAGATGCATGGTCTCTTTTCTTTTTATTTTTAATTGAAATTTTTAATGAATCTTTTTATTTTCTGTGATATTCTGCAGTTGTTACTGGATTAAAATGTGAATAAGATTTTGATCTGTTAGGTATACATAATGAAAAATATATAAATATATACCTGTGCTATCATAGTTTATCAAAAATAGGATGTGTGTGTGAAAGAGTAAACATTACAGTTTATAAGTCTCTAACGTTTAATAATGTCGTTTGACAGCAATGATGATTATTAACTTAGATAGTTAATAATTGAATATAAAACACGTTTAAAACACTTTAACAAAAATATCAATTAAACCATATTGTACAATGACCAATTGCTTCCTTCTCGTCTCATTTTCTCATTCGATATCCAAATATCATCTATATCTGAATTGTTATTTTCACTATCCCATTCTAAATTTTGTTCTAGTTTTCGTTCAAAACTATCTGAATATTCATATACAGATTCAGAGTATGACGATGATGATTCGGAAGAAAAATCATTTACATTATCATCTTGTAATTTTAATCTTGCTGAATCAACGATTAATTTAGGATCGATATCATCACAAACTAAATTAACATCGGATAATGGATTTAAATAAAGTGTTATATTCTGATTATCATTTATTGATGATGTATGCACTTTTTTAGGTTTTCGCTTTTTGATATTTGACGTTATAGTTCCAATTGTATACGATAGAACAAAACCAATTATTAATACTATAATGCAGATAAACGCAATCCAAGATAAAGTGGTAAATATCATTTTTGAATCAGCCAATTTACATATAGATAAATAATTTTTTTGAATTTAAAAAAGAAAAATTGTACTTTGATGCACGTTCGAACCGTTTATTAAGAAAAATAATTAAACATATTCTAGAATACAAATTGAAAAAAACACAAACAAATTGATCTCATATTTCTTCAAGTTTTCAATTGTTGTATTCATTAGTGAGAAATATTACATATAGTTGCCAACTTGCTCTGAATGATACACTATTAGTTATATTTTATTAAGATTTTATTAAAATATGAGTTTACATTTCCTTCACTCGCGTCCGCCTACTTCATCTATATACTTTCAAGATTGAGGGATAGTTGAGGGATAGTTGCATGCTTACTTTTTTATCGTGTCAATTTTCAAAAAATTATTGTCAAAGAACAATCGAATTTTTTATGTAATAATTTTCTTAATTATCTATAAATGATAATTATTCATTTTTGTTGAAATAAGAAAAATAAAAGAGCAAGGTACAGTTGTATGATGAATGAAGGTGATAGATAACGTGATGAATAAAGAAAAGCATACTCAAGTGTCAACTTTTTTTATAGATATGAGCCAAATGTCTATGCATTCATCAGCTATTATTTATCTTGATAAACATTATTAGTGAAAAATAATATACGGAACTATTAGATGATTAATATTTGATTTCCATCTACAGTCATATTTTCTAATTTATTTTCTTAAACAGAAAAGAAAATACTGGAAAAAAATTAGTTGGGAATATATGCCCTTGGTATAAAATCAAACAATCTAAGATCAAAAATCGATAGACAACATAGGGAGGGACCATTTTCTGTGGCATAAAGGCCAATTAACACCAATTTATAAGATATAATTTTATATCGCTCGAAGCTAACTTGATTGGTTGTCAAAATGCAATTTCATCAAAGTTAAACTCTAATAGTAAATATCTTGTTCTTGATTGTATCATAGTTGATCAGTGCTCGGAGTAATGAAATTTTTTGACTTAAAAAGATCAAGAAAACAAGAAAGACACAAAAATTTGGGTATGTCTAATGCAAATGAGTGAAAGAGCAGATCATATAAAAAACATGCCTGATTGATTGTCTTTAAGTGAACTAATAATATTCATTAGCAATAATTTATTGCTAATGAATATAAACAAGTTCTTTATTGCCAATAAAGAACTTGTTTTGATAATAAGACCAACTTATGAAGAATAAATGATGATATCGGTATAGAAATTGACGAGTGTTGAAGATGTCCTAAGATCAGGATCTAAGGTTCAGACTTCACTATGAAGCATCTGTTTCACAACATAATTTCTTATTTTGTGAATCAAAAAATGTGCTTGGGTGAAATAGATGTCACACAAATTCGACTCGAAATTTAAGAAGTAGATTTGAACATGACTTGATCCGATAAAAACAGTAAGACTAGAAAAGATCTTTTTTGGCAAAAAATAAACACTTACCGTCTTCGATAAAACTAGGTGTAATATTTTTCATCCTTTGCACATTTTTTTATTTTATTTAATATACGATACTTTTATCTTTTCGTACAAAACAACAGATACTGTTTCGTATGGGCACAGATTGCTCAGACAGATCACTTGTCTATTTCCTTATTTTCGAAAAAAAATTAAACTAAAAATACCAGTAGCTTTCAAGTCTGAGATTAGTATAAAATTGAAACTTTTATCTACATTTTAATCTGCATTGTAAAATTGAATTCGAAATAGGATCGGGTCATATTTCAGTTATAGGTCTCTATTTGTGAATCTCTTTAGTAGTATCTGTTCGTACGACAATAACAAAACGATGATAAAATGTCTGACCGAGTATTACACCTCAAACGTAGACTTTTTTCATATATATAGATAGAGAATCTCGACAAAGACCGATTAGATACGGATAGTGGCAGAATACAGTCAATCTCTCGATTCTTCTATTGCCATTTTTTCACTGGAGCCCATAGTCAGATACAATCAGATCAGACAGCAACTTTTTCTGAAACGATGAAATCAGCGGTACTGTACTCAATATTTTTGTTTTTCATCGTTGAAAGTTTGTTATTCTACCACAGTAGAGCTATTGAAATTACAATTCACACTAATTCTGCTATAAACGTTTTACACGCCACTTGACATAAAGACTCCTTCAAAAAAGAGTCTTTTGTTAAGACTGTTGTCTCAATTATATATCTCAGTCTATGAGTGTAGTAAAAAAAATCTTGTAGAATATATTTTAGACAAAGAACAACAATCACAAGACCAGATGAATTGCAGGTGAACTTTTATCTACTACTATACATAACTCGTTAAAAAATCAGTTTTATTGAAATATTCATCAAAAAAAAGTTATAAATTGTTCTATAGAAAAAACATTTGCCATTATCATTAAATTTGTTGATTAAATATTAAATTCAGAGCGTCATTCCGTTTTATTGTGTTTTTATCTAGACTATCCAGTTTCATCAAAACATTATCGATCTTAAAATGAATGTCAAATCCTCTTGCACACGTGTCCGGCTTAATTTTTATGACTTGATGTAGCCTTGTAACTCTGTTACTGGAGCAAAAGTCTGCTACGTTTGTTTGCTATTTTTTATTCCCTATATATTTCGAATAGAGAAGCGCTCAGACCTCTTCAACGATTAGTAGAATGAACTGTGCTGAACATCTGGAACATTTCTGCACACTTCACGATGTTCGCCTTTGTAAAAGTATCAAGAAAGCTCTGGGCGTTTTTCTATTCGAAATATACAGAGAGCACACAATAGAAAATAAGTATGACAAAATTTCACTACAATAGTAAAGTTACGTGGCCAAGTCGTTTACTCATATCACCGGAAAAAAAATAAAGTTGGTTTTGAGTTACCGAAAAGTGCTTTTTCGTATTCAGCACACTTGATAACCCAGAAGATTTTCTATTTTTGGCGAGGGGTACTTCCAAAAGTTCAGGTAAAATTTTCAAACTAATATTATTTTCTCATCGAAGTTTTTTTGCGACATTTTGTTTCGAAATTTTTCCTAAACTTTTGGAAGTACCCCTCGCCAAAAATAGAAAATCTTCTGGGTTATTGAGTGTGCTGAATACGAAAAAGCATTTTTCAGTAACTCAAAACCAACTTTATCTTTTTTGTTCCGGTGATATGTTCTATCTTTATTATTTACTTACCTCTGCCACCATACTTTCTGCTGCTTGCTCCATTTGATTCACTCGTCCTACAAGCATCAGATATTGATCGTAAGAGAGCCTATTGGCTACTTCTCTTATCCGTTCATCTTCACTATCAACGTCTTCTTCCCTGGAAGCAAGAGAAGAAGTAGCTACAATATCCTTTTCTGAATGGAATATACTTACTTTTGTTTTACTGGTTCAGTTTCATGTTCCAAACCTGTTTTAAATATTAAAAATATTGTTGATGTTTCATTCAGTTGTTAAAGAATGTCTCACTTACCTTTGATTCCTCGGTTAATTTCATTTTTTTGTGTTAACAAATCATTTCTCATCCTTTGTTGTTCATCTGTGTCTAATATGCCATCACCATCTGAGTCATATTGGGCAAAATAGCCTTTAATTTCTTGATCAGAGTAACCACGAGCTCTTAAAATATCTTTCCATTCATCAAAATTCACAGCATGATCAGCTTGTTTCAGTGTATCTTCAATTCCAGTTATTTTCTCTTGTTTTATATTCAAACGTCGTAAAATTCTAGCATATCCCTTTCCAAAGACGCCCATTTCTATTTTTAGTGTTTGAGTCGTTGTATCGGCTTGTACTTTTGAATAGGTATCGTTGATGATGGCCAAAAACATGTTTAACAGTACAAAATAAACAAAAAATACATAAGTAAAGAAGAAGATTGGTCCGATTGTTGCATCAGCTTTAACCAAGACATATAAGTCAAAATCACCCAATATAACACGAAACAATGTAAAACTAAGCAAAAGATAGGATTTACATTGTGTTAGGTCATTACATAAAATCTATACTTACACAGTAGCAGCAAATGATCGATAGTCAGACAAATATGCACCGAATAATAAATGTCCTAAATAACCATATGCAAAAAATATGATGAAAAATATAACAGCAAAACTAAAAATATCATTTGCACATCGTGATAATGTTGTATTGAGTAACAGCATTGTCTTGTTAAAACTCAAGTATTTAAAAATCTATGAATGAAGAAGATAGGTTTACTTTTTCTCCCTTCATTCGAAGAGAGTCTATTCTATTGATTACTTTCATCCAAACTAAACCAAGTAGGACTCCCAAAGCAAAATTTGACTGTAGCTGTAAAGTGAAAATAGATTCAAAATTTGGATAAGCATCTTGAATTTGTAAGAGTAATTCAACATGTTTGTTAATGTTAACATTAACGAGTGCTTCATAGACGATACACACGATGCTCACAGTCCCACATATAACATCAATTACATTCCAAAGATTTTGAAAATAATACAGATGGCTTCGATGAATCTGAAACAACAGTGGAAGAGAAAAGAGGTGTTACATAAGATTATCGTCCTACTTCTAAACCTGCTTCAACAATATTATTCAATGTAATGAGAATAAATAATATTTCACATGCTAAGATAAAGTAGTCAACGAGAGACGTATACTAAATAAGAATAAATTATTCTGTTAGTGCCATTTGAATAAGTCAAAATGAATGTTTTTATATCTTTTTCTTATTATAAAAATGTGGCAATTAAACTAATTGTATCAGTTCATAAAACCTACTCGAATCAATTTTACAGTTGTAATCGATGTAGTAGGAATAGCTCCACCTGAAAGATCATGAGAAGCAGATATAAGCAAATAAACTTTAATCTTTAACATCTCATATACTTTACCAGATGCTGGAAATTCAACCACAAGTCTAAAAATAAATGGTAAACTTAGTCGGCTGAAAAAAGTCTATTAAGCGTAAGGAAAAGCATTCTAAATCTTGAAAGTGAGTCTTATGCTTAGAGTTAAGATACTTGTAATGAAGAGACTAAAAGCGTGTGATCGATCTGACACATACATTTTCTTTCAGATCTCACCTCATATGACAAAACAGATTGATATTTGCATTATAAACCGTAAAATCTAAGAATACCACTCTCGTTGCACGATCAATCCAGTTATTTTCTTTCAATTCTTTTAAAATATCCATTGTTGACGATGCATTTCGTGTATATTCTTGCACATATCCACCGTCTCCGTAATGAGCTATAAATCCATAGTGAGAACTACTTTTTAATTTAGAACCAGTTTGATAACTCCAGCTTCAAAATAAAACTAAGTATCGAAGAATAACAGAGAATATTTTTTGATTCTAACTTACGCATGTGGAGTAATTGTTGTACTTGCAGGAAGAAACGAACTTTTATCTTCTGTGCTCGAAGAATAAACAGCATAACAGTCTTGTACAAATATTCGTTTCTGAAAATTTTTCCTCAACTTACAAGAACCTCGACGAACCTAAACAAAAAAATTGACCATATATAAAGAAAACAATAAAAATTACAGCTCGAGATAAAAGTCACCCTCAATTGTCGTAACCGTGCTACACCTAAAAAGGAACACATAGTTCAAGTGCACAATGAACAACTAAAGATCATAAACTGTGGATATATTAATAGGCTTACCAATGATTAAATTTTCATCATAAATGTACCCATAATCAGATTTTGTTGAAAGTGGTTTACCCATGGTCAACAAATTATACAATCGTTGAAGAATGGGATTTTCTAATACCTCATAAAACAAAGAAAAGAGATAAAACAAAAATAGCTCTACTATTATTTTAAATGTCAAGAAAAAATGAGGATAAATAATGTTAAAAAAAACTCACCAACCAGAAATCTTCAATGTTGGCAATATCATTGAACGATACATCATTCGTTTTTGTAGTGAGAAATGCTGTCATTAACATATTTGCAAAATAGAACATACTATTATTTGTTCGTCCAAAGCTTACTAGAATTTAAATTTTAAAACGGAATTAATTTAAATAATGAACAGAGTCATTGTTTTATTTCTTACTTATACAAATAATAATCAAATAGAGAATGTATAATACAACTTCACGTAAAGGTGTTTTTCTCTTTTCTAAATCGATTTTGAGTTCTGTTATCTGTGATAAAGCTGTAGAAGAGGGTTAATTCTATGTTATAGATAGATGAGAAATATAAGAGAAAATGAATAAATCTTACATGAATCATGAGATAGAATCATTTTTGGTTTTGAATTAGAATTGTTTTCCGAGACATTTCGATTTAATGAACTCATATTATCAAAAACATCCATTCTTTAGAATTTGTAAATTTTTCACACTTCTGTGTCTTGCCGTCAATGACACTCTGCTGAATGAAACTCTTTAATTTGATTTCTTATTTGGCGCAAAGCACATGTTTAATTAATAATCTGCTACATTTATTGCTATTCTATATTGATTAATTTTCATCTGTTCAATGTCACACAACTGTTATTGTTGCATCTTTTCTATAAAAGTTACCGCCGAGTAATGTTACAATATTTTTCTATCTAAGTGAAGGATATTTATTTGATATACAATACAACAGAAAGATTTTACATAAAAGCTCGACAACATAAAAAATGTAAACTATTGAAAATAAAATGTATTTAAATATTATTTTAACGTCATACGTTTCAATAAAAATAAATGTACAAAGAGTTAACATCAATAACGCATCGTTTCTACCATTTAGTTTCGTTTCTACCATTTAGTTTCGTTTCTACCATTTAGTTTTGTTTCTAGAAAAGGATAATAGAAATTCTAATCTAGAAAGACAAGACAAATATAATTTACTTACTATGCTGAGTCCACTTATCGGACGAGGTCGTTCAACTGGTAATGGGCTTAAACGTCGTGGCGGTCCATTTCCGGCTCTTGGAGCTCCAGGTGCACCAGCTTGTTGTGATAAATTTGAGGGTGAAGGTGTTTGTCGTTCACTTCTATCCCATGTTTCTAATTCATCACGAAGCATTTTTTCCAGTCGTTCATGTTTTGCATCATTACTCATACGATTATCCTTTAAAATAACAAAAAAAAATATATTATTTAGATGAAAAACAAAAAAAACCAGTATCTTTTAAAATATAATGTGTTACATCGGTGATGCTATCTAATATTTTTGTCATGGCTTCACGTCGTTTCATTTTATCTTTTTCCGATGTTTCAAGTTTTGTTAAAACACTATCAATCTAAAATTAAAATTAACAATAATATTTAAGATTTATATTTTATTTTTATTGAAAAATACTTTAGAGACAATATTTCCAATTGAATATTCCATACGGTCAACACGACGCAATAATACAGCAAATTCATCGTAGGATATACGATTATTTGCTGAATTTTTATCATTTTCATTATCATCTTGACGTCCACTATTGTTTCTAAATTGATTATTTTTTCTAAATTTGAAAAATATCGATAATGAGTTGAAAGATTGTTTATAGATACTTTAAAAAAAATATATTACTTTATTTCATCACTATTCGAATATGAACTAGCTAAACCCTTTATTTCTTTCGTTAGATCGTTTTCTTCTGCAGTCAAATCGTCTTGAAATCGTCGTTGTTCTGCATCTTTTAATTGTCGATCACCATCAATATCATATTTTGAAAAAACATTTTCAATTTCAACATCCGTATATCCACGTTCCTACGATTATCGTAAAAAAAATACAAATATTATATTAAAACATAAACTATGAGAATACACTTACTTTTAAGTCTCGTCTCCATTCGCCGAAGTCAATGATACCATCTTTGTTCAAATCAGCACGTTTCAATGCATTTTGTATATCAATAACACGCTAAAACAAAAACAACAAACAAATAAAAGTAATGAAATCGTTTGTTTTTTTTCATGTTAAAATAATATATATTAACTATACATGCTTACATCTCGTTTAATATTCATTTTATCTAACATTTTTTCATAACTCTTTTTAAAATAATCACCAAGTTCAAATTCTGATTTTTGTGTAGCAATATCTGCTTTAACTTCTGAATATGTATCATTAATTATGGCCAAAAACATATTGAGTAAAACAAAGAATACAAAAAATACATATGTCAAGAAAAATATTGGACCCAATATACCTTAAGAAAAAGAGAGTATATATAAAATATTTTCTTTAGATAAGAGTTTGCCTACTTACGATGTGCTTCTAACATTGCTTCAAAATCAAAATCACCAAGAACAATACGAAATAAAGTAAATCTAAATATTAAAAATGAATTATCTATTTCAAATTAATAATAAAAGAAAATAAATTTACATTGAAATAGCAAATGTTCGATAATCTTCCACTAATGTACCAAAAAGAAGATAACCCAATTGTGCATAAGCCAAAAATACAATAAAAAACATCACCGCAAAACCGAATATATCTTTTGCACATCTCGATAATGTTGTAGTCAATTGTGTCATCGTTTTATTAAAACTAACATATTTAAAGATCTAGAAGAAGAAAAACAAAACGATTTAAATCTACGAATAAAATATTTTAATTCAACTTACTTTAATCCATGCAAGAAATATGGCAAATGCAACAATATTATTAAATTGTACCTGAAATAATTGTAAGAATAGTAGTCACTTAAAATGAGACATAATCTATTTAACTTTATTTACCTGCCAATAACTTAAAAATTCAAAATCAGCAAAACTATCTTCATTTTCTAATAGACTATCTAATATTTGTCCAACTTTAACTTGTCGATAGACATTAAATGCTATACAAATATATGAAATAATAATAATAACAACATCGAGAATATTCCATATTGTTTTAAAATAATGTAATCGATATCGTGATATCTAAACTCAAAAATTTAATAAAATAAACAATAGATGACAATAAATTTTATGATACCTCAATTATTTCTTCAATTGTATAATATGCCGTGAATAGTATAAATAAAACTTCGCATGCCAAGACGAAATAATCCATTGATGAAACATACTAAATAAAGGTAACATAAAGAGTGAACGTTCTTCATAAATTTAATATTGATTACTTACTCGAATTAATTTGACCGTATTAAATAATTGTGTTGGTATAGCGCCACCTAAAACAAAGATTAAATCATTCTTTATTCACTCAATTTGATGTTGTTTACTTTACCTGTTGCTGGAAATTCGACCATCAATCGTATTTGACAAAATAAATTGATATTAGCATTATAAACAGTAAAATCCAATAAAACTACTCTAGTACTACGATCCAACCATAAATTTTGCTCTAAATCATCTAATATTGCCTTTGATGTAGCATAATTCACTCCCAAATTTTGAACATAACCACTTCCCGAATAAGTCGAGATAAGACCTGCTACCGATGAACCTTTCAATTCCGATGACGATTGATAATGCCATCTAAAATAATGGATGTATATCAATGATTGTATAAATAAATCTTATTTAAAAATCATCTCAACTTACGCTGTATCGGCAATTGTATCATTAACAGGTCCATACAAGCTTTTATCTTCTTTATTGCTACCATAGGGAGCAAAACATTCTGGAATTAGTGCTTGAAATTTTTTATGAACGGTACATGAATGATTTGTAACCTTAAATAATTTATATAAACTTAAATTATCAAAATAAATTGAAACAATGAAAACATTGTTATACCCTCAACTGTCGTAATCTCGGTCGGCCAAGAATTTTATTTTCATATAAAACATAACCATATTGAGCTGCTGTAATGTTATCATCATTATACCATTTTTCATTGTACAAACCTTCTACAATAGGACCGTCCATGACCTATGTACAAAGAAACAAGTCAAATTTAAGTAAAATAATATAAAGAGTAATCTAAAGTAATATGTAATGTCACATACATCCCAAAAATCTTGAAAATTTGCAATATCTTGAAATGCTGGTCGATCTCCAGGACCATCGACTTTTGTGGTTACAAATAAATCCGTCAAGACGGTTGTAAAATAATACATTTTTGTACTTGTCATACCAAATGTAACTAAAAACAGAAAAATATTTTCTATTCACATCTTCTCTACCATATTTTGATACATACTTATGCATAAAATAGTAATAAATACGAGATATACTACAAGTTCACGCAGTGTTGTCTTGACATAAAGTTCTTTATTTTTTCTCAAATCTTTTTCTGTTTGTCGTGTTGCCCATATAGCTAACAACAATAAAACAAAGGTTTTATAATCCATTTATTTTTTAGTTTTATATACGTACATCGAATACCACGTAAAATTAAATGTCCAACATTGTGTGATGGTTTTTGTGATTCATTATGCGGTGTTTTTTCATCATTCGGTTTTACCATTAAAATTTTTGAACCCATTGGACTTGGTGCATTTGTAGATGGTTCAGTGTCTTCAAATGCTGGATTAGCATGAAAACCACGAGCAGACTCGGTTTGAAGGCGAGTCTTCGATGATGCACTCATAATCTAAACATTTTCTAGTCTTTTGTTGAACATATTTGAACTATAAAAACTATCGAATAGTCCTCCTCGTATTTTTCTTATAGTTTTTTTTCTTTTCAATCAGATCTGAATGTTTTTCCAAAAGATGCGCCGTTAAATTCTCTACAAGCCGTCAATTCTCTTGATCAGACTTATTTCTATAGAAAATTAAGGAGAAAAATTAAGCGAAGAATACTGAAGATAATGGAGTGGACTAACTTTCTAAGCCAGAAAAACGTATTGTTCAACCACTTTCATTGAGCTGGATGATAAAAAGAAGAGAATATACGGTATCGCATTTTGTAGCCCTTGGAAAGCTCTATCAACTAGTATTAGGTGCACAAATGCAAAATCAATCTTTGAGAGTCTTACATCCATTTTCTCCGCTTTGAGGCTTTGCAAAATCCAACTATTTAAATGTGTAGATTCAGAGCTTCTGAAAAATGCTCTATAACGAAACCAAAATAGCACCTTTTTAGCTCGATCTTTTTTTATGTTGATGAGAAATGACACAAGTGCCGGATTCAGCGACGAAAGTTACCTTAAAGCTTTCTTCATAAATTCACCTGCCGAACAATGGCAGATATTGGATACTTTGAGGTGAATTTTGGAATGTTAGATTTTTTAGTGCTCACTTAGATTTGAATGAACTGTGAACTGCATAAGAAGAAAGAGCGCATGTCAAAGTACTTAAAAATATCTTTATTTTTGTTTCATTGACTTTAGAGTTGCCTAAAATATTCAAAAATTCAAGTTGTGAAACAAAATAGCTTAGAAAGTTGACCCGTTTCATCAAGTTAAGTATTCTTCGTTTAGTTTTTCTCCTTAATTTTCTATATAAATAAGTTTGGTCACGAGAACTGACGGCTTGTAGAGAATTTGATGGCACATCTTTTGGAAATTTATTCTGGACTACCTGATATTTATTACTGATAGGGAGTCTCTAATGAGAAAGTGGAGGTCTACTTGCTCATGAGTACAGAACGTTACTTACTGCGTATAAACAGATACCAACAAAAATTCTTAGTCTTTCGTTTCCCTACAAGAAATACTTTCTTTTATTTTATATATTTTATCTTCTAGTCTCACTTCAAAAGTTCATTTCTTAGTTTCTTTTTATTTGAATATAAAAGAAAATTACCTGCTCTCGTTTTCTCTAATATTTATTTTCCTTACATATGCATTAGAATTTTTTAGAATTTAATTTCTTTTATTCAAAAATTTCTTTTTTTTTTATCTACGTATGCACTTTTTTCATTAACACGTTATAAACTAGCGGAAATATAAAACTGAAAGGGATCATTGTCTCTCTCTTGAGAAATATTGTTAGCTGAAAACAAAAGACTGATTACTAGCTACTGTGTTTTTCTTTTTACTTTTGAACGTCGTCATAGAATATTCATAAATAGACGATAATGAAGAAAAATGAATATTATTTTTTTGTTTTTTAATCATCATCAACGGAAACTTTAAAACAAACTTTTGAGTATAGGTAAAAATGTCTGTTTTTTTTTTTGTAGTTTCATAAGAAAAAAATCAATTAAAACTTCATTTTCTTTCTAAAAGTAATGGGGGTGGACAAGTGTTGTTACATATCTATATCTTGCCGTTATATTTTTGAAAAAGAGCCAGAATTGAGACACTGGTTATTGAACTAGGATCTTATAAAGGACAAAATAATCAAGTATATATGTCGAACATACACCATTATGGGACTAAAGCTTATTGTCCGCGTAAAGAATTTAGGTATATCTATGTCAAATATTCAGTTGTCCACAGACATTGCTGGTTAAATTTTTTATAATAAGCGATAATAACAACTGCAACTCTTTAGTTTTAAAAGTTAATTATCTTGGTCAAGATCCATAGAAAGAAAACTTTCCTTTTACTAATCGAGAGCTGATAAAGTCTTTCAGGTTGGAATAAAATCCGGTTTTGATAAGGTGCC